CAGGGCGAGAAACGTGACAGCGATTGCTGCGACGACCTCAATGGGATATACAGAATTGGAAGAAAAGAAACAAATGAAGAATCTAGAGAAGTCTGTTATGTGCCTGAAACTTTTGTTCCTGGTATACCTGCAACGAGCCGGACAGATCAAGACAACGTTGGATCTGCGTTCAAGCTTTCTGCGGGCCCCAACAATGGTCGAGACAGAAACAACGAATTAGACTTTGGCGTCGGCATAAGAGGGAACTTGATGCTAGGCAACTGCTTTCAGACGATTGACAAAAACTGTATATGCGACGCCAAGCGGGAAGAGTGCTCATGCCAAGAAACCCAGCTACAAGGTCTGAACTTAACAGACATTTGTACTTCTGCCTACATCAGTGAGAGTGACTTGAACGATGGTGAATTAATTCTTGCAGCACCTGATGCAGTGATGGATGAACATTTGCTTATGGAACATTACAAGGGTTCTTCATGGGCATACCTTACAGATGAGGCTGAGAAAGACTACGTGTTTGAAACCATGGCTACCTGTGGGCCTACAACTGTGTCACGAGACGTCCATGGAAAACGTCCGCTGACTTGGCGTCTTAAAACAGCGGCCCTGGAAACTACAGTGATCGCCACAACCTCCATTTGTGTTAAGTGGCTGGCATCAGAGACTATCGTCATGAAGTCAACGAAGCGACCACGACATCGTCTCAAGCGTAGACTGGCCAACTGGAAGAAGAGGAAGCGACGGCCGCGGAATACTGTGCAGATGGCCTCGTGGGCAACAGGATCCCTGCCGTCTGTGGCTCCCACCGATCGACCTCCACCTTAACCGGCAAACCTCCACAGCACTGTTTCTTTTCGGGACGAAAAGCTCTAAGAAGGGGGCAATGTTATAACTCTGCCATTCGCACCGCCATCTAAGCTAGAAGGTGCGCACTGTGATAAACTAGACTGGGAAGGATGTCAACATTAGAAGAGGAGAACGATTTCCGCCCAAGTAAAGAGCCAATATGGAGAGATTGTGCCTAAGATAGATGTTGTTTTGTGTACCTGTGATGTCGTGTGAATAAACGTCTATGTCTCGTTGAGTTGCCTCACTTAAGTTATTACAATACCAATATGTTACATCTCTCTTCTTTAATTCAGAAAATCTATCTATCAGAATAACTAACAAACTAGTCAACTAAAAAGTCAAATCAGTTCATCACAAATCATATCTCGGGTTTGTTAACTATTCTGCCAGAGCGAGTAACGTAAGGTTCATGTGGTCTAGATGTGTTAGAAGAAGCAGTGTGTAGTGGCGGCTCTATCTCTAGTGTAGTTTGTAATCTTGGACTCTCTAGACCTAGTGGTTCTGGCTGATCTGAGATGTTATCTGGAAAGTCATAATTATTCTCAAATCAGTTTGTTTTCTCAGAAGACTTTCTGATGTGTTTCCTGTTTCTTCTGTAGACCTGATTTCAACTTTTGACATTATGATATTACAATGTTTCGAAACTACTGTTCCTGGTTTCCACTTAGAATTAAGTTGCATTCTGACTGCCGTTCCGTCTTGTAGTGGATTATGACTCTTAACCCCTTTCCTCTTGTCATAATAATGTTTCTGAGACTGTTTCTCATAGTCAAAGTGTTTCTTCAGCACCTTGAGATCTGGTGTCTTAGGTGTAAGTATTTCCTCGTTCGAAGGTAACAAATTTCTGGGTCGGCGTCCCATGAGTAATTGTGCTGGCGACAAATTAATATTAGTCAGTGGAGTAGTTCTGTAGTCTAATAGCGACAGAAATTTGTCTTCGCTTTTCTTCCACAGTTTCTTCACTGTCTGAATAGCTCTTTCAGCCTCGCCATTTGAACTCTGAAAATGAGGACTCGACATTTCATGCTCCATTCCGTATGATTTACAGAAGTTCAGGAACTCCCTTGAAGCGAACTGTGGTCCGCTATCTGACCTTAACCTTCTAGGTATTCCATGGCATGCGAATATACTCTTCATTGCTTCGATGATATCTGATGTAGTTTCCTGTGACAGTTCATTGACATCAATAAACTTTGAGAAGTAGTCAACTAGAACCACATACTTTTTACCCTCAAAGTTTAGCAGATCACACCCAACCATGCTGTATGGAAGGTCTGATGTCTTGGTAGGTATTAGCGGTTCTGACACATTTTGATTCTGATGTTCAGCACACCTGCTACAATCCCTGTCACTTCAATGTCTGCATTCATGCCTGGCCAATACATGACTTCTCTGGCTCTCTGCTTACACTTGACTATTCCTAAGTGAGACTTGTGAATCAGATTTAGCATGTATTTACGTAAGCTCGGTGGCATGACTATTTTCAGACCTCAACCAGTCATAATTACTTCCCGAAGCATTGAAAGTTCTTTGTTTATACTGTCTTTAATTTCACTGTATTTCATATGCACTGAATCATCTGTAAATTCATATGTCTGTATATCAGTATTTGGTAGATGTGCACGAGAAAGTGTATCGGAGATAAACATTTCCTTGCCTTTTCTGTAACAGACTTTCAGATCATACCACTGGAGTCTTATTAACATCTTCTGTATTCTCATTGGTGCTGACAATAGAGGTTTCTTGAAGATTTGCTCCAGAGGTTTGTGATCATTATTAACTGTTACTTCTTTACCAAATATGTAGCAGTGAAATTTGCTTGTACTATACACAATTAGAATTACATGTTGCTGTTTTTTTTGACAATGTTACAAAGTGAAAAAGACTATCTTATTAATGCTATTTGAATTTAAAAAAAATATTTAGACCTCATCTAAATAGAAGTGGAAATGACATTAAGGCATGCATGTGAAACTCATTAAGGTATTTGAGCCGCAAAAAACGGTTTCCATGACCTGAAGGGCCGCAGCCAAAAGTCGGTTTGAAAACATAGCCTACTTGTTTTATGTAAATTAGAAACAATACAATAAAATATAATAATTAATGGTATACCTGTCCCTTAGTTGTTATTATTATTTTGTTAATTAGAAATTGCTATGATTACGCATTATTTTTGTTTCGTGATGCTTGACATCTTTTCTGAGATACAAGTTTATTAATGTCAGATTGAAGTTTGTTTGCCACTGACACTTTCCTCACATGACAAATTTTAATCAGATAATCTCGCACGGTGAAGTGTTTTTGTAGTTTTCATTATGGAAAAGAACTGCTCACAAAGAAAATAGCAAACATAGCAAAAATTCTGCAAGTTTCCGAAATTCAACGTACCGTTCAGATAAATAACTTTAAACTTTTGGCACAGCCACTTCTATATACTTCGCTTTCAACTAAGAATCTGACTTCTATTCTATCATTAGCATTTTCATGAGCAAATGGAGATACAAATAACGAAACTTCTTGCTTGTATGAAACAAAGTTACGAAAACACTAATTGAAAGCATCCAATAACGATTCCAGGTGTAGGACATTTTTACCAAATGCTGCAGACGTATTTAATTTTTTTATCCCATGTTGAGAAGTGCACTAGGTTTTCTCTTAATATTTGATTTATCCACAGTCGTAACTTTGCTTGAAAGCACTTCACATGATCATAAGCAGTTGTGACAATTTTGTCTTTACCTTGAAGTTTCAAATTCAAGTCTTGCAGGTGACCAGTGAGATCAACTGCCAATACCAAATTCTGAACCCATTCGTCAGTTTGGAAATGTTCAACAGGTTCACCTTTCATGTTCAGAAACAATACAATTTCCTCACGCAGTGCAAAACGTCTCTTCAATACTTTATGACAATAGAGTCAGCGGACTTATGTGTAGTATGCAACACAATCAATATCATCCCGTCAACATTGAAAATTGGCGATGATTTAATCCACGGGCACCAATAAAATTGATAGCGACTGAAAATGATCTTAACACATGTTGAAACTGTAATTGCTTTGCACATAATGCTTCTGTGTGAATGATGCACTGAAAATGAGCAAATTTAAAATTGTCATCTGTCTCTTATTTTTGCAAGCAGCTTTGCACGAACACCATTTCTAACCCCAATCATGTTTGGTGCGCCATCCGTTGCTAAACTAGCTAGCTTTACCACAAATAAATTTTACTGTAATATCACCTCCTGTAATTTCTCAAAAACATCCTCGCTTGTTGTGGTGTTATGCATAGAACAGAGCTAAAAATTCCTGTCACAGGCCCTTATGAAAATTGCCAATTGTGCTACACCCGTTACAACAGTTGACTCATTGAGAGCCAATGAAAAGAATTAAAAATCAGCTATTTTGTTCTGTAATTGTTTAGGCAAACTGACTGACATGTCATTTATTCTATATGCCAGTATGTTCCTAGTTCCTTGTTATTTCTTTGAATGCTTTCACCTTTTGTGGACAAATTACTTCGGCAGCTTTAACGACACACACTCCTTAATAAAATCACCTTCACTAAATGATTTCTGTCAAATGTAAGTCTAACTCTTAACATATTGGCTTATTTATAATGTGATTATTAACAATTAATAATAATTAAAAAGTTAACAAATCAACACTACATTTAAAAGATAACTTAAAGGATAATTCGAAGTTAATAAATAAACGAAATTTTCCAGAATTTATTGGCTTAAGAATAGTTCAACGAAGTTGGTTGTTACGATTTTTTTTTTTTTGCAGTAAATATTTTACCTGAAAAGTAGTGGTGTTTAATAATTTAACATTATTTTGATAATTCTTGAGGTGGTCACATGCGGCCATCGAATACTATGTTTGACTTGCTTGCAGTAAGGCATATTAAAAATAAGTACACTTAGGGATAAAGAATATTACTTCATTTTTTAAAATGCTTGATATGTAGACTGCGGCCTTTTTGATTTCGTGATTGATGAGTCAGTGGTATGTGGTAAATATATAGATCTAGTAGATTCGAAAACACTTGAAAAAGAATTTCATCAGCAATTTGATAAATCTAAATTAAAATTTACTAGGATTTTTCAAGCACAAAGAAAAAGGAAATTTTGTTGTTAACATAGATCTATGTCCAAGAATGATTGTTTACCCACTGTAACTTACATTTTTAATTGTCGCAAAAAAGACAATCATAACTAATCCATTAGAAACATGTTTATTGCATAATTATACAGTCTTTATTATACACTATTTATAAATAGAAAACATATGCATTCAAAACATTCTTGTCAGTTGTACACACTTACTATTGAATAACAAATAATAATGCCAGTATTAATAGTAGAATGTCTAAAAATATTTATTTTAGGCCTACAACTTGAAAAATTAAATAAAGTACTGGGTAGTAATAAAAATTGTAATACCTCATTTCCTATAGGACAAAAGATAAGACAATAACTACTTCATAAGCAATCAGTTTCAAAATATCCTCTTATGTTTACAAAGAAGAAGGCATTGTGTTTTTGGTTACATCATTTGCATTAAGAAAACAAACAATCACTTAACCAGCACACTCAATAAAACAAGTCATTTGTATATTAAATAATCTAAAGACTCATTGCATTAGCAAAAAAAAAAAAAAAAAACCAACAACAACCAAATACAGAGCATGTTATTATCTTTGATCTGACTAAGTTCACTAATCAGTAGATATGCAGCCTTTTCATTGAGTGACAAAATTCAAAAACATCTACTTTCAGTGATACATCACTAAGTCATTTTACTAGATCAGCATAATGGAGTCTACAAATAGTAAGATTGCTCACATTGCAATATATCATTAAATAGATTGTTCATGTGAACAAAAATTGTTGAATGATTCCTTTATTATTAACCAAAGGATGTAACGTTTACTGAAGAAACCAAATAAGCTCACAATAAACAAAACAATACTCAAGCTGAATAAGAATTAGTTACTTTAATGATAGGTTTTTGATTTTAAAGTTTAAACTACAAATAATAAATATTAGAATTCTAAATAATAAAATTGTTATCTAGTTTTAAGTGGGTGGAATTTCATATTTAAAAGAAGTCTATGAACATGGAAGATTGTATAGTTGTCTTTTGTTTCTATTTCATGTCTGTGTTCACTAAGCCTCAGATGACAATCTATAAAGGGGACTCATTCAGCTTAAACCACCACTTCAGTCAAGTGCAAATTCTTTCCCTTGTTTGAGATATCAAACTAAATAATTAATTACCAATAGTTAATTAAGCAATTGGTTAATTTTTTAAATTGATTCTTCTCTTGTCAGGTAAAAGAAATAATTGTATCAAATTTCAACTTTAGGCCAGACAGACAAAATGAGCAAGCTGATATAAGCTTTTTAAAAATTAAAAAGTATTTTATTAGCTCTCTTAATTCTACTTGCTAATTCAGCTATCAAATTAAAAAGCACTCTACAGTTTGGTTGCACTGGCCACATGATACCCTCATTAACCATAGGCCACAGAAAGAGATGACCTTTACACCATCTGCTCTATAGACCACAAGGTCTGAAAGGGGAACTTCACTAGTTAGTTGCTCTGGTTCCCCTCATGTCTGTTAAAAGCTAAAGCATTATTCTGATAATTAGGTTTACAAGTATTATGTAGTCTCATTGTCACAACTAAATTAATATATACAAGGCGTTTCACCTCTGTATATCCTAAGTACCTATTATCAGGGCTCATATTAAACAAAGCAGGAGTAGCCACTGTGTTAGGATGAATCTTACCTGAAAGTGACAATTAACTTGATTCTAGAATGACCCAAGTTGACAATAACTAAGTGCCAGGTGACCAAGTCTGGCTTAGTTAATGATTTGTTAGAAAAGCATGCCAGAATATTGGAAACTATTTTTGTGATGATGAAAATGAGCAAATAATAAACTACAATTCTGAAAATTCGATTTTAAATTCAATTACTTATAAATGTTATTGTACTTGGTAATTTTAATAGAAATTTTCCTAAGTGTCCTTCCAGTCTAGAAAAACCATAGAGTTGTTTGTAGCTTCTATGTAAAACTGTTGGTACTGTATTGGTTTTAAAAAAAAAGTGCAACTTTTCAAACTGTTACACTCAGACATTTAACATTTCTTATAATCGACATCAAATTAGTATGCCAATTTTATTAAAATGATCAATTTACAAGGTCAAAATAAATTCTGTTTAGGGGACTAATTCAATTTAAATGTTTGTCAACATCACAGGGACTTTGTAAATATATTTAAAAAAAACAACATTGTAATAGCTCTTCCAAATCTAACCAAATACAAACATTGTACTATTTTGTTCTATTAAATAAGGGCAACTTACATACATTTACATTTATTACAATTTTTGAGGTCTGTTTAGTTTGCCAAATTGTGTTGGTAATTTTTTAAAAACTTTAATTGCAGAGCCTACAGTAAGATGGTGTACAAATGTTCATTTACAACTATAGATTCATTAAAACTCTCATGTTTAAAATGTCAGTCTTATGCAGTAAGCAGAAATATTTTTTTTCTTTTGAAGTCATTCAGAACAAATCATTCTTAGAAAAGATGCACTATGGTGTAAGAGACATTTAGAGCCAAAATTATGCACGAAGATTATTGGATTTAGTTCAACAACTTAAAAAAAAAGAGGAAACATTTGGGACAGTCTATTAAATGAAATATGAGGCATCCTCATCAGCACATATCTATGATTTAGTTGTGCATGTTAAAGCTCAGACAACCAGTTCCATGCTCTAATGGCACCAAGGAAGAAGGTGCACTTGTATGAATTTGTCCTAGCATATAGAATAAAAAATGTGCTGTTATCTTTGTTTCTGAGTATTTCATTTTGTTTTTTTTTACAATATCTCTATACAAGTCACTCCTTCCTGGCTGGACGCTGATCTAAAAAATGGTCTCTAACAATTTTCCTAGAATTTTAAAAGTTGATGTTTATTGCTGATAAAAGAATTACTAGCTCATTGGTCACATGGGGAAAACTAGTTTTTTCAAAGTAGAAATAAATAAATGTAAACTTGGCTAAAGAGTAAATCTAGGTCTAGATCCTATATTGGTTTTGAAAGGACTATCACGTTCAGGAAATTCCAAATGTAAGGCATAGATTCAAGAGTTTAGTAAATTAATGTTTAAGAAAATTGTGCGCTTTGTCTTCAAAGTCTAGATCTAAATGCTTATCATTGAATTTTAAAGGTGTACTAGATCTATACATTACCTTTTCCCTTAACCAGGATTCTTTCTCAGGGAGCAGGGGGTGGGGTAAAAGAAATGTTTTTAAATTTAACATTCATTAATTTTTAAGAGAAAAAAATCACTCAATAAGTTGCATATACTGATATTGTCTTTTTAAAAAAGTAATTTTAATGTTTTGTTCTTGTATTTGTAAGTTATGGTTCAGTGTTTTAAATATCATAGTTTAGCTTTTTAATCTTTTGACCTGAACTGTCTCTAAATTTAGTGATTTTATAATGGGGTCACTTGAATCAAATGTGAATATTCATCACAGCTCTATTTGGATCTGTTCTACTTTCTTTATGTTTTTTTGAGACGAAAGGTCCCAAAAAGAGGATGCATATTCTAATATTGATCTAAGTTTAAATAGCATTTTAGGTTTATGTTCGTTTGAATTATTAAAATTTATTTTAACAAACTAATTATTTGATTTTTAAAAAATAATTTTGTCAATATTGGGATTCCAAAGAAACTTTTATTTACCTGGGTATTTTGAGTTTTAAATCTGTATAACTGGTTTACCATGAATAACAATCATCTGTAAATAATGTAGCTTTAGTTTCTGAACTTATGCAATTGGGTAGGTCATTTATGTGAATTTGATACAGTACACATCACCTGAGTTTACTGTTAATGATTTGGTGACATTTTTTTAATTACACTTTGTTCTCTATCAGAAAATCCTGAATTAGTTGGTACAACAGATCAGTAATGCTAAAAACTTAAATTTTTTGAAAAGCTTTAGAGAACTCAATAAAAGCACTAGTAGCAGCTCCAGACCTAAGACTTAATATGGCACACATTTCAAAGCCACAATTTCTTCAAAAATGTCAACTTAGTTTATGCTTGAAATAAAATTTAAAGAAAGCTGGAAAAGCAGAGAAAAAGCTAATGCTTGTTTGGTTTAGAATGTATATAACTCTCCCCCCCCCCCCCCCTTTTTTTCCCAAGCAAATTTGTTTAACATTTTTTAACGTCAAAATTCAGTAAAAATTACAAATCTAGCATGTATCAACTAATCAATTGTTTGTAAAAAAAAAAAAAAAAAATCTTCTAGAAATTAATATTTTCATAAAATTAATAACGTCAACAAATTAGAAAGGAAAAAAAAAAGAGGAAAAAATGAAAATGATAAAGCATAAAAAACGCTGAGTGGATGAAGCTGCACCTGCTGAGTTATCATTGTAATTCAATATTAGAACCTAGAAATAAACTATTGTTAATTGAAGTTAAACTTAAATGTGAAGCCCCCTTGACCAAATGGGTTAAAGCCTTGGTGGAAAAAAGGGTGTCCTCCATGCTGATGCTGCTCTTCTGGGTCTAGTGGATCTTCCCCATTATCAAATCTTTGTCTTTTTTCTGTAAATAGAAAATAGTCTTTACTAGAACCTAAATATCACAGGTAATTTGAAAGTAAAAGCTCTTTGATGCAGACACATGAAATCCTTGTTAAAGGGAAACTCCGATGGTTTTGACAATTTTTGACATAATATGTATTTGGATTTACAGATAATGAATACATTGTTCTTTTTTTTAAATTTGCAATAATAACTTAGTAATTGATGTTTTTCTGACGTAATTTTTCTGCGCATCCAAAACGGTCAGATTTTCACCAGGTTTCTATGTGACGTCACACTAACCTATTAATTTATTCTATTGACTTATTATATAACGGGAGACCATTCGGTAAAGTTTCTATTCGCCTATGCAGTTAGATTTAGATCTTGTAAGCAAAGAAAAAAATGCGTGTTGAAAGTAGATTTACATGCTTGACTAACCACAGCAGTATGTGTTTTCTCGCCTGACCACTCAATACACAACAAACACTATCGCTTGATTGTCTTGTAATGACCGATGTCACGGATGAATGTGTGTATGTATGTATAATCTATTTTTACAATTTGCGCGAATGATCGGAAGTGTGTTGTTTGTTAGACAGAGAGACCAGCATGTGTGAGATGCAGTAAAGCTGATTAAAGTTTATGTGTTTGATCTAGTGGTTTAATTGTTTTATTTCGTTAACTACAACTTAACCAGGGACACCTAGACAAATCGAGACCTAAGGTAGATTCTATCGAGTTATAATTATAAATAGATAGAGTTATATAATAGGAAAGCTGTGACAACCGACTACACGTTAGACTAGCCTTACACTGACCAGTTTGTAAGAATCAGTCAGACACACAATCTATTTACTTCTATGGCCAGGGAGAGGCTTAGATGAAAATGTTACTTTTTTTTTATCAAGTTGGTTATCCTAATGCTTTTTGGTCTCTCTCTATATATATAACTGTACCATAGCTCTGGACTAGGCCGTCACTAAGCCTAAGAGCCTGATAGCTACTGTAAGAAAGAAGTGATACGATTGGTTAAATCTA